GGTGGAACGTTGTTTAAAAGTAACATTTAAAAATGTTCATTGAAAACGAAGAATTATAAATAAATACTGACGAATGTAATTTTCATTTATTTATTTCTTTTTAATCTTCTAGAAAAATTTCGAAGTAGAAAAGAGATTAATACGGAGCTTATATTCTCATCCTTTTTTTCGTCATTTCGATAGTCTGGTCCATAAAACCCAGAGGAATGAAACTTCAATAAAAGTATAAAAATCCACTTCCCTTTTTGGAATTCCATTATTCTAATCTCGTGCGAAAAAATTCTGACAAAAGGAAAGTCTAATAAAACATGTAAAAATTTTCATTTTCCATTCCATTATTTTCTCTACTTTATAGTATATAAAAATGTAGTATAAGATATAAAAATAATTAATAATTCAACAAGATAAATAATCTAATCATCACTCTGTTGTTCATTCGTACATTTTAATATACGTTTTTAACACAAATGGATCAAAATGTCCTTACTTGTGCACAAAATAGTAATACAGGGTGGCTCGCACGATTAAGACGAGTTAAAAATTAAATCGTTTGATAATGTCTATTTTTCTACGATGTTACTTTTAATGTCTACATTCAAAAAAATATATATAAAAAAAAAATTAAAATACATCGCACAAGTAAAATAAAAGTTATTAAAATATCGAAAATTAATGAGTTTGAAAGACATTTTAACTTTTATTTATACTACTTTTGTAATATAATATTTCTAACATCGTTTTTCATTTTCCTAATAATGTTTATAATAATCTGTAATCCAACAATTTGTTAATTCTTATACCTTTAACATTTTCTTTTTATTTCTTTAAGTAAAACTCCCCATAATTCCCCTAAATATCTCCGATATTTTCTTTTTGATTTTTTCAATATTATTATTATTATTATATATTCGCGTGTCTAATATCTGAAATATTTTTCCTTTTCTATATATTTCCTTTTCTATATTCCTCTAAATAATATTTCTATTGTCTCAAATATTTTCTTTTCTATTCCTCTGTGTAGCACGTGTCTAATATTTCCTCCTGACTTCCTACCAAGAATACGGAGTGATACAACTGGTCTCAGTCTGCGCGACTCACCCTGTATATACGACAATTTCCAGCTCTTTTCTCTTACACTCGTCCCACTCGTCCCTCGGAATGAGGTTCGATGATTTCTCCCGTTGTCTCCTTTGAGTGTGGCGGGGTTTGAAACACGTGAATTAAACGGATATATCGTGCCGCGCAACAATGAGGGCATGATAAATGGAGATTGAAGGGACAGAGCCCAGTTGGTTGTCTTGGCTCGTCTTTAGTCAACGGTTCTGCTGTTATTATGAGCCATTATGAGCCTCAAAGCTGGAGAATATGGAACAAGTTACTATATACGCGTCTCATTGTTTCGAGGGCTGCTTTAAAATAATTGCTAAGCGCCATTGTCCACGCAACAATCACCACGCTCGTATCCATTACATTTCGCAGAGGCGAGGTGTTGTCTCCCGCTAATCCTTCTTCGCTGAATCGAAAATTAAACGAGCAAACTTTAATAGCGTTCTTTCTTTCGCCGCGATGGGCAGAGTGGAAACAGAGAGAGAGAGAGAGAGAGAGAGAGAGAGAGAGAGAGAGAGAAAGAAGAAGAAGGAAAAATTAACGGAGGAGAAATGATATTCGCGCTACCATCTTGCAAATGATAAGGAATTTTGTGTAATTTTGAAGCTTTTCTCTAGAAGAATTAGACGTCTGACGAGGAAGATTTACAACGCTTCAAAAATTATTCTCGTATTATCCTTGGGATTTTTCTTTCATATACACAGTGTTTCGACAATCGATCTTATATTAATATATTAAAATTAATATATATTATAAAAATATATTATAAAATATATATTTTATATCAAAAACATTTAATTTAAAATATATGAATTTATAATACGTCGAACCTCCCAGAGAATTATAAGTCAAAAAGACGAAACGATAGAAAAAGAACCAGAAATCAAGTAATTAAAAAATACAACTACAGAACTGAAGATTTAAGAAATTTTAAAAATCTAAGAAACGAACTTTCTTTAAAGTGAAACTTCTACGACATTATATAAGTGATATTGAATGATATATGAGCCGCCACGACACCGTTGTTGCCACTTCAATTACATCGACGGAGTGAAACTGCATTTTCCAGAAAATTAGACACGTCCGACGCGAAAAGTAGCTCACGTGTGGCGCCCCTTAACGATTGATCGTGGCCAATAAAATCGTCGGACCTCAGTGCCAAATGATTTATTTATTTCGGTCTTCATCCCGACGATTTTACGCGAGAATGTGAAAATGGAGACTGATATATATATATAGTATAATATAGTATAATATAATATAATATAGTATGATATAATACATATATATGTATATAGTAACAAAATTTTCAAACTTAATTTCCTTAGCCTTAAATGGAAAAATTTTATTATTTTATTATTTTATGTATATATGTATATATATTTCATTAAATTGGTGTTGTAATTGAAAAAAGTAGAATAAAATTGAAAAAAATAAGAAAATTTTTCTATTTAAGGTTAAGGAAATTAAGTTTGGGAATTTTGTTACTCACTATTTTATTTATTTATTAATTCCAGACTGGGACTTCTTTTGTGTTTTCGAAAATTAGAAAAAGAAAGTTCCTTAAATTCGACGAAACTAAGAAAGAATAGTTACGTCGGATGCTAAAAACTGTCTTGAAATATTAATCACCTTTTGCTTGGTTTAGATGAACGGAAATCGATAAAATTAACGAGAACGAAATTGAGGACCGCAACAAAGTTGGACAATTAATTTCAATATCTCGGTTATTTCCTTTCGTACCACTTAGTAATTTCATCGAAATTACATCTTGTCGAGGAGAACGATATATCACTGTACTTTGACACTGATAACGAGTGACTTATGATTCTGTAATGGAAAAAAGAAAAGAGATAAGAAAGAAAGAAGATGAACGAGAAAGTATTTTTTTCCTTTCTTTTCTTCTTTTTGATATTTTATTGTTCACCCTCTTACTAATCAACGTAAAAGTTTCCTGAATGAAGTGTGAAAGTTGTTAAAAATTAAACACAGAAGCAAAAATATAGTGAGACCTAAAAGAAAATCTATAATAATATAGATGTTAAAAGCCTGAAATTTGTCGCAAATTTTCTATTAAGACCTTCTTAAGATCTAAAGATTTTGGTGAGAGAATATTCTTAATATGATTCAAAATATTCTGTAGCGATATACTTTGATATCTCGATATTATTGAAACATTATTTAACAAATCTAAATTTTAGCATCAAGATAATTACAAGTTTCAATTCTATATATTTCATCTTTAGATTTTCACACATGTTTCAAGTACAACAAATATCACATACTACTGCTACCTTGGTTTTGACGATATTATTCTACGCTGTTACACGAACCTAGAATTTTCGTATTTTTATATTCTATATACCTCTGTGCACATTTTCTAAATGCGTACCTACTCTTAACTCTCCCGTTACACGTTACGCTATGAAAATTAACGCACGCGAAAAAGTACAAAGGAGAGGACGAAACGCAGAGAGAAACGAAAACCGCGCGTTTCTCCGAGAATTATTTCAATCAAACGATTTTATTATCCCTTAATTTCATGGAAATTTAACCTGATTGCCCGTGTCGTCAACATTTCCCTGGGACCGCGTTCAAGCAACGCGGGAAATATTCGCCGACACTCGCGCGGAGTGTTCAAACAAATGAAACTCATTAAAATGGGGCCAAGGGGATCGTGTGTAATCGGCGAAACTCTACGAGCGGACCAAAGTCCGAGCTCGTGGAAATTCCACAAGAGCGGCGCCAGCATAAAGAACCTCTTAAAACTATGGAAAACGTAGAAAGTCAAAAAGCCGGTATGCCACTGCTGCTGCGTTTCGTTGTCCGGTTGTATGTACGGTCGGCACACACCGCAATCGCATGAATTTCTGAGGGTCGCTGGGGACAAAATTCTGGAGAAGCCTCCCCTGCGCCGGGAATGTATTATTAAACAATTAATTACAATGGTCAGGACGGTGCCTCGCCCTCCATCCCGTACCGTGGTCCAGCCGGCTCGTTCTTGAATTATTTCGATGCAGACCGTGTTAGCACTCTTCCTCAGTTACAATACAAAAGGGTTGAAATTAATATATCGCGCAATGCATACCGCAGTTAATATCGCGGGCCGATGAAAATTTCACAATCTGTGGCAACCGACTGATTGAGGATATTTTATCATGGATAAAAAATATTAGAGATTTTATTTGAAATTTAATATCCTTTGGATTTAAAAAGAAAGTGCAATAAAAAGAATAATTCTGAAACAATAAGTATATCGCTGTTAATATCGCGAGCCAATGAAAGTTTCACAATCTGTGGCAACCGGCTGATTGAGAATATTTTAATGTAGATAAAAAATATTAAAGACTTTATTTGAAATTTAATATCCTTTGGATTTAAAAAGAAAATGAAACAAAAAGGAATAATTCTGAAATAATAAATATTATTCTAAATTTTAATATAAATTTCAAATAAAAGATTCCTTTGGATTTACATTTTTCTAGATAGATATATTTTTGAGAGAGAAGAAAATATATGCATACGTATAATTAATTTTAAATTAAAAATTTAATTAAATTCTTTATTCTTCCTTTTCGAAATTTTTCAAAAGGAGACGAATTTTTTTCAAAGGGGATGTTAAATTAATTTGAAATCACTGTTGGCAAATAGCAACAATATAATATATAAATGCAACGATATTGCTTCATTTTATTATACGATACGTACTTATTCTCTTCTCTCATAACTGGCCAGGCACACTCTAGCATTAACTAAAGCTAGGATAATTGTCAAAGCTCGTTGGTATCGTTGCTAAATTTCTCGGCGAGAGTCGAGCATCCTCCCGAGTAGCTCTCGAGGCCCCTGACATTCCTCCGTTTTCCAATAAACGTGGGAACACCCGCTAAAACGAGAGTCCATCTAATCAAACACGGCGTGTCTCGCCGGTTTCAGGCAATAAACTGATCTGCGACTGCAAGCTGGCATGGATCTGGGGTCTTAGGAACGAGACGAAGAACGTGAAGCTACGAGAGTCCCTGGAGGAGCTCACTTGCTTCCTCGAGAGTAATAACGCAACGCTGAAGATCAACAACGAGAACCTCGAGTGGAACGAGGCGCTCGAGATAGCACGTAACTCAGGTACGCTCGCGATACTTTACACGCTACTTTGCATCTCTGCTGTACTCACTTTGCTCTAACTTCCTCTTGATCATCCTGTTAGCCAGATTCTCACCTTCGATCCCCTAGTACCGTAGAAACGAAAAGTTCTAAATCACGGAAATATTCGAGCGCATTTCTCTACTCGTCAATTCACTACTTTGAATCGTGATCGAGTTATACTCGAAGTACATTTTACAGACGACAGGTGACATAATCTCGAAACAAGCAACATTTCTGGGAATGCAGTGTTATATATAGAGATGACAAAAATAATTTATTAGATTATAATTAATTATTGGCTATATTGATAACGAACTAATTCACTAAAACAGTCTTTATCATAGTTTAAATATTTATATAGTTTATAATATAGTTTATAAAGTATATTTATATAGTTTAAATATTTATTCGTGTCGTATGCTGATGCATATTTTGTTTGAAAAGAGAAATATTTTGCCTCAAAATTTGTTCCAAAACTGTACTCCGATATATACGCAGTCTGATGAAGAAGTGCTTTTACTATTGTGTTATATATATATTTCATGTATATGTATAATATTATTCTACACTGTCACAACCACTTCCGAAAATAATTCTCCACTTGTAAAATCTAGAACTTTTGGAATTTCTCCTGTGTAGTTTCGGTAATCGATATCCTACATCTCTTTCTTTTTAAATGGCAGTTTGAAATACACTGAAATGCCGAATTTTTAGAATTAAATGCGTCACGATAAGTGAATCATAAAGAGTTGATGTAACATTAACGCACATCCGAAATATTTGGAACGAACTACATCATTCTAATTTGAAATAAAAATATAATATTATATTTTCTTATATTATTTAACAATTTCATTTTATTATTTACTTTCTATTATTTAATTACATTACTTACAATTAGAATTTCTTATTTACAATCTCAATAGAATTATCATAAATTTTCAAAGAAATCCCAAATCACAGAACAAAATTCGATTAAATTCCTCTTTTTTTTTTTTAATTTAATCATTTCTAGATTGTTTCATACTCATTGTTGCATTTTACAATACAAATCTTGCACGAGATCGACTTTACAAATTGAAAATACCTTCCACCAGACCAGAGATCCTAAAAATAATAAAGTCGAAGCCTCTTTCTTATCCTCGGATAGCACCATAGAAACGAGACGTGCAACGCAATTGAAAAAAAAAACCACGAATATGCGTGTATTACACTTTCCGGTCCCATTGTTACACGTATTCAGATGTTAATCGTTCGTCTTGGATGTTAACTCTCATTCGAGAGGAAGGAAAGAATGAAAAAGAGAGAGAAACATTCCGGATAGCGAACTGAATTCAGTCAAGTGCATTTCCCCCATTGTAACTAAAGAATAAGGGTTGCTTCTTGGAATTTTCCATTGTCCGCTGAATAATTAATAGGATGGCTTCCAGTTCCTACATTGTTTTCACAGTTCACAGCGAACGTTACGTTCGTATGAACGTCTAGATTGAATTCTGATGATCAGAGTTACGGAAGAAACGGGAGCGTTTCAACTCCTTTATTAATTGAATTCAACCCTTCAACATATCGAGGTAAAATTAATTATTCATAATGAAATTACGTCCAATCGAATGCTCTTGTGGGAAGGACAAAATGCGTTAAAATCTTCAATGTAAAATAAAGTATTTTTAAACATTTTCCTTATGTCATGACTATTGAACAGCAAGAAGGAATGATACTTTGAAAAAGATATCAAACTCAAGAACACTTTGTGTGCGTAGAGAGACTTAACGTATACGTTAAGAAGGAAAAAGACAAAATTAGTATCCTTTCAGTTTACGTACCTAATTAAATCGCGAGAACACCTGTTTCACGTCGCAATTGGCACAAATTTCACCGGAATGTTAACGAGTCACCCACAAAGTAAATCATCAATCCATTAAGCTTGTTTTTCATCTGGTGCATCGTGCCATTTATTATTACTACCGGGTGCAAACAAAGGTTTCAAAATAAAACACGAAATATAAAAGAAACAACAGCGCTTGGAGACAACAGAGATTTTATTTTATTGTAAGCAATATCGGCTGATATTATATTAAATTTCGCTGTCTCGTTGCGATCCCGGTGTATGAATTATTTTCCAGAGGATGAAAATGCAATTAAATGCTGAACGATCAAACTAATTAATTAATCTATAAAACACCGAGTGAAATTTTTTGCTGGAAGTTCTTTTTTTTTCGGTGTACCCACGGAGTGTCTCGGAATTAAACTGGTGAAATTTTAAAGATGAGATGTCCATTTCGTACGAAATCACGAGTAATCCAGTGGATGATTGAACTTATCGATACCTTGAATGTTTAATCAGTACTCGACCAATAAAAGAGATATTCCGATATTCCACTCGTTTCTAGAGACCTTCGGTATTTCGAATTTCAAACTCTCTGTTCGATAATCGGATCTTTCAAAGGGAATATTTGGTTTCAGTTTAATTGATCAATACTCCTCGAGAGTGTTTCCTCAATTTTCTGCCGATCTCGTTTCGAACAAGACTTTCGTTGTCCCATTTCTAAAAATCGACCGATACAACTTATTGCACGCGCTTTCTAAAGTAAACATTGAACATTAACGTGACTGTGTATAATAATATAAAAGTGAAAGAATTTGAAAGGAAAATCGATACCGAGACGAGAGCCATGATATTACGAAGGGGCGAAAATATCTCTAGAGCACATTATGTTGGAAGAAATGATCTCAAGTTCCATAAAGCTGGTCTTGATAAAAATTGTCTTTCTCTTTTTAATTTTTGACATCGACGAAACTGATGATGATTCTCTGTTTCTATTTTTCTATTCTCCACATTTTCTTTAGAAATTTCTATTTTTCTATTCTCCACATTTCTTTAGAAATAATTTTTTGTACAGCTTTTTGGGTGTCATTTTACTTTTAAATCATTGAACTTATTGCCACTGTAGAATAGAATAATAAATACCTGTTCGTTTAAAAAATAGATTTCAAGTTATTCTACTTTTTTTTATTGAATATGCAACATAAGTGAATAATAAACTAGACAAAAACTAGAGTCAAAACTCGCAATAAGAGGGAATATTTCAACACGCATTTCTCTGTATAAAAATGGAAAACATGATTCATCCTCTCTGTCTTCGTGTACGTAGCTACATACGTTCATTTTTATAAATCTTGCTTGCACAGCAAAATGTGTGCATACAATTTGCGTAATACTTCATTTTCTCTCCCTTTTACAAGCACACTCTCTTTACAACAATCTTTTGTTTCAATTTTCCTTTGACCCTCTTTTCCCGAGTATTATTTTCACAGGAAATTGTTATTGCTTTCTCTTACTCTTACTTCTTCTTATTCTTCCTCCTCGCGAAGCTTACTTTTCTACTTCCACTTCGATTCTGTATCACGTTTCGGTTATTTACCATCGCACTGACAGAAATTCTACAATTACACTAAACACGTACAACACGCGTTTAAACAAAGAAACTTCCCGTTTTATTCCACTCGTTTTCACTCCTTTCGAAGAAAAGGACAGAGAGAGATAGAGAGAGAGAGAAAACAGCAACAATCTAGAACGCATTTTCCACGACTGCACTCGATATGCATTTTTCTGGAAGTCTCGATTCTCTCGTTGTTACAGAGGAATATCGCGCCGGCAGCTTGAGAGACGGGAGCATCGAGGACGACGACGCTTACTTGGGCGACGAGTACGAGAGTAGAGATGGATACGAGGATTCTTCCTCGAATTCCGATTTTCAGCCGAAGGTAAGATATACGTTTACCTCCCTATATATTTTTCTTTCTACCACCGTGGAAAACCGGGATCAATTTCACCCCCTCTTCCTCCTTCTACCCTCCACGTTCCATCGAATCTCACGCGAAATCTATCGTTATTATATTTTTATGTTACATTTATTGCGTGTACCGCGATAATATCGCGCTATACGTGTTGTGTTTTCTCTTAGCTTCCTCTGTAAATTCGTGACATCGCCGCTTCTATGGAGAAACTCGACTTTTAAATTGTTTACTTTGTTCACTTTAATTTCTCAAAATAAATCTACATACGGACAAGATCGCAGAGATCTTCGACTCTGTGTAGAAAAAAAATTTCCATCGTTCGTGATAAGGGTGCGTAATTTGTGATTTACGCGGCTGAAAGAAGAAACGATAAGAAGGAAGAGAAAGTTGATAACTGTGATAAAAATGTTGCAACCGTGGACCTTTGATAAAGATTTCAGCAACTTGATCTCGTCTCTAATTAACCGTTTCGCGATAACGGGAACAAGAAAACGCACGCGAAAATAGCGCGAGAAAATTTTCAAATCGTTCTCAAATTAAATAACCGGCGTATCGCGGATAAGATTAAAGCGAGAAATACAAGGGACGTCCAATGGGATTAAAACAGCCGGGGGAAACCCTTTGGAATTTCGCGGAACGCCCTCTCTCGCGCCAACGTGATCACGTGAACGCCGCGCAGTCTGGTTATGAAACGCTGTTATAAAGTTTCTTATCACGAAGGTGCCTTTGGTTTCGCCTGGTGTTTCGACGTGCGCGGAATTCTTCGTCGACGATTTTTTATTTAAATGACGGTGGCACGCGGATCAGCTTGACCGAGCGTGACGATTTTTCCAAAAAAAAAAAAAAAAGAAGAAGAAGAAGAAGAAAAAAAGAACAGGAGAACCACAACCGTACGTAGAATAAACAATTCATCCGAAAAAAATGTATTATTTTGTTCGCGCGCGCGACAAAAGGGATTTATTTATTCGTTTACGCCGTTTTATACGTTTTTCACGAGAATTTATCGCGGCCGTAAAATTTCAAACGAACGATTTAACAAGACCCGGCGAATTTGTTTAACACAAACGCCGGGACTTCTATTTTTATATACAATTAAACCTCCCCCAAGGCATTCGTTCTCCCCTCCTCACCCTTCTGTTTTTCGTCTCGCGATTTATTTTCGAAATGTACACAGGGTGTCCCATATACGCGTGAACGACACCCTGAACGAAATGGGAAATTTTTTTTCCTAATGTTTATGTTTCAATCTTACACCGTTGTTATCGTTCAACGAATAAAATGAATTTTATAATGTTTCAAAGAGATAATTCAATCAAGGACGTGCTTAATTTTCAGATTTTCAATTTGATTTAATTTTGTAATTTCCTCTGCCAGAGAAATGAAATTAAATGGCTCGAATTCTTGTAACACAACACAAATTTCTATAGTTCGATGAACTAAATGTTTCATTTCGTTTTGTAATGTTATAATGTAAAATAAACGTAAAATAAAATCAAATGTACCTTGTAATTTTTGTAATATAATACAGATTACTGTAAATTTCTGTAGTTTCCAATGTTCGGTATCAATTAAGAGTCCAGCGTAGCGAAAAAATTTTATTCCTTCCTTTCCCGTATAGGATTATCCCCGAGTTTAGAGCATGCGAGACACCCTGTACGTATCGATCCACTTTCCTAAATAAAACTACCGCTTTAGAGTTCGATTAACTCGTTCGCTGGTTTTCGATAGATACAAAGAGCCACGCTCGATCCTCAAATATTTCTGATTTCCCGTTTATTTGCCCACGTGAAACGAAAAGGGGCTTTATGAATCGAAAACGCCGGGGGTTTTAAACGGCTTGGAAAGAAAGTCTCGCGTGACACCGTTTTTGACGTTTAACGAGGTGAAATTAACCTTCATAATATCATTCAATCATAACTGATCCCGCTGATTGAATCGAATTAATTTTAGAGCTGGTATTCTATATTCTGCACGATTAAACTAAATAATTTCGATTATTGTACTTAGTTGAGACTACGTAGCAATATTTTTACGCAATATTGAAAGTAGAACAATCGTTACAATATTTATTTAGTGACGGAAAACGAATTTCCGCTTGGGCTACGTTTAAGCATGATTGTATTCATAAAAATTTGAAATTGCCAAAAATTTAAAATGATTGTTATTTTGATAAATTTCATTCGAGCAAGCTAGATTTGTTGAAAGCTAATCTTTCGATTAATTCTAGTTGTATGCATGTTGTGTGCATCGCAGCGAATTGTGTACATTTGAAAGAATTGCTTTTGTTATGTGTAAAATTGTTTCACTGAGCCCAGTTTTTCCACCAAAAACAAGACAGTCTAATAAAATTCCTATGGTAATGCTACAATCTCTCTATTTGTATAAATAAAATTCCCTTAGGTTCTTACGGAGCCTGCTAGTTCTACTTTCTTTTCTGCTCCGAGAGGGTAGCTAGAAAGTATGCAAGGGACTAGAATCGAGAAGGGTGCATTCGATAAAACTTTTGGACTTTCTTCATTTTACTTTCTTTAGTTTAGTTTATTGAGTACGTGAATAACTGGTATGTTTCGATGCTTTCATCTGAATTTGTTTGAATTTAATCTCATTCATCTGGACACTTCAATTAAAAATTAACTGTCAGTTAGTTAGATTAGAAGTGATTTCTAAATTTATACTACCGTGGATGAAAAATGGCGCAAACGCGCATAAAACATGCAAAAATATACGATATATGATATTTATTATAAAAATTAATAAATACATTAGGTAATCATATTTCTAAAATAAATTGTTCATCCTTCCATCAAACTTTTAATTGAACGAATGAAACGGTAATTAAAATGTAAAAAAAAAACTAAATAACAACCATGGATTTCCATGCATTAAAAACTTAAAGCTACATAAATTACATATAATATTTGTTATGTTTACAAAAATATAAAAATTCGCAATACAACCCGAGATATATATATATATATATATATATATATATATAATGAACCAACGAAAAATCTATGCGTGTCAAAATTGATTCCAATCTTTAATATAAAAAAATCCTTGCCAGTGACTGAAAGGTCACTCGACGAAGACTAAAACACTGTCCTTCAAACAATCGGATTGTAAATTCTAAACTCTAAACTGTACAATAAACCAAACTCCTCGGATTATAAATTCTAAACTCTAAACTATGTAATAAACAAACTCCAAAACTATATATATATAAACTATATATTAAACAAAACTATATTATAAACTATAAACTATATAATAAACCAAAAAACAATTTTGACTCTGTCAGATTACGAGTTGTAAAAATTAACCCAATCTTTGATATAAAAGAAGAAAAAGTTTAATTATCCTCGCTGGCTCGACGAACATTACGCCTAGGTAAAACTAAAACGGTGCTGTTTAAACGAACTGTTACAGATGCAGATGGTGGAGGGTAAACTGTGCTACGTGAAGAACCTGTTCGAGCTGAAACTGGAGGAGCTGCCGTGCCCAGAGCCCTCGAGGGAGGATCTAATGGCGTCCGAGCAACCTTCGAGTCGCCACGAGAACGCCCGCGTCGGATCCTCCGGTTCCATATGGTCCTCGTCCTCGCCCAACATTGTCCGCCTCGACCTGTCCGTCCTCCTATACTCTCTGCTCTTGTTGCTGTCGGTGCTGTTCACGTAGAAGCGGCTACGTACGCCGGACGGCCCAGCAAACAGATCGGAAGGACGGCCCGTGCACGAGGACGAGGACGATTCTCGCAATCCCGAAACATAAAAGCGTGCATAATCGAATCGCGCGAGGTGTGTATGTGCGTGTGTATCGTCGCGTGTGTTCTCGCCGGATCCGCGACTGTCTAACACATTCTCTCCAGCGATCCCTTCTTCGGCGAGGAATTTTTATTTTACCCGAGGAGCATTCGAAGAAGGTTCTTCCGTCTCGTTCTTCTCTCTCGTCGTTGTCGTCTCTTGGGAAAATATTGCCGAGAGTTTATGGACATTCGAGGAGAGTTTGGCGTTCTCTCGAAAGGGAGGAGCGCTATAGTGAGTTAGAAAGGTGGTTTGTTACGAGTTTTGGGTTTAGGAAGAGTATTGATTTCTAGGGACGATATAATCGGGCAATTTTTAATTTTTTTTTTCTTTTCTTCTTTTTCTTTTTTCTTTTCCCTTTGGAAGTTGCAAGCTTCGCAGGATTTTTCATAAATTGGATCCGGGGAGATTGATCTGGGATTTTATTTTTTGAAAGGATAATAGGAATGTTCTAAAATTTTCTGAACTTCAATTTCAAACGCGGTGAATGACGAGCATATGGTCTGTTCACTGAAATTCAGTTTTATAAATTTCAAATTGCAGGAGAATCCCCTCGAACGACGAAATAATCAATTTGAGATTTCCAATCTTGGAAATCGAAAAATAACTTGCCACTTTAAAATTCTAAATTCTGTGGCAATCAATCTGAAATTCGATTACTGAGAGAATTCTTTAAACCAGACTCGTAGCACGATAGTAATTTTAATTTTAATCAAAAATATTCCAAAGTGAAAAGATTCTAAAGATCAAAATTTCAAGTTTAATTATAAGAAATAGAATTCTAAATTCCCAAGCATACTCTCTTGGATCTAGTTTCACAAATTCGAAATTAAACAACTTCATATACATATAAATATATTGAATTATATTATATAAAATTATGTATAATTATATATAATTCAATAGAATTTATATACAATTACATTTAATTATACGATTCAAGTACATATACAATTACAAATAATTATATTCATATATAATTCAATATCCTTCCTCCAAAAACTAATAAAAAACAAACTAGTTACCCAAACATCTAACCTATAGTTTCAGTTTTCAACTGAAGCTAAAAATTACGAGAACATTTCACCCCATAAAATTTAACATCACCAAACGTACAAGCTTCGTGAGAACTCGATTTACGATTAAACTGGCAAATCGTCAGTTGGTTTCCAAGTCAACGAGAAATCCAAGGTGAGTGATAACAATTCCGAAACTTGTTCGAGACAACGACGAGCGAAAGATCGACTCTACCTTCTTCTACCGAATCAAAAAAAAAAAAAAAAAAAAAAAAAAAAAAAAAGAAAAAACCAAATTCAGATCGCAGATCGTTGAACGATCGATGAATCGTTCGCGAAGCGAAATTCCACCCGCGACCGGTGAGGACACTTTGTAAACGCGTCGTGTCGGACGCCAAAGAGACTCGAATCGGATTTATCGAGCGCGATCTCGCGAGATGACACGGAGTACACGCTTAGAGATACTTCGTTATCTTCGATGGGGTTAAAACACGTTCGATTCGCGTTTTTTCTACGCACGAACTCGTTTATCGCCGCGTACGTTTATATAGGCTGCTTGATCCAGCTGCAACTTTTCAGTGACCATTTTTGTATTATTGACCTTTTTCGACGTACATTTATCCTCCGTAACGGAGTTCCCCTTTTTCGATCGATTATTATCAAATCGTAACATTTCGTGAAACTCGTGTTTTTCATTAGCTCGCACGATTTATAAGGAATTACGATGGCGATCGGTCGGTGAATGGTCTTTGTGCGCTTTTCCACAAGTCTTTTTATATTTACATTTCTCCTGGTACTTTACACGTGTTAATAAGGTTTGTTACTAATGGAAGAAACTTTGGGAACAATTGAGAGATCCAAGGGAAAAGTGACGAATAAAATGAGGATGCTTGGATGCAATCTTATATTTCTGTAAACGTAATTGAGAAGTGGAAATGTAATCTGAATAGAAATTTTGTTTCATCTACTAAACATTGGAACAAATGGCCTACTTTGAATTATTTTATATACTTTTACATATTGTGTACATCTTGCAAGTTTCTCGATCACTCTTAACCATAAAAAGATTCTTCAATTAAGTAAATATTGATACAAGAGATTGAGATAAAATTCTATATGTTTCGAACTGTAAAAAGAAATTACTTTTTTTTTTTAATCAGTAATGAAAACAAATTTTTCTAATATTTTTATGAGAAATGCACGAGACTAGTTTTTACTGAAAGTATATAAACTTATGAATGTGATAATATTCATAAATTTCATTTTATTTATTTATCTATTATTGATATATAATATTAATAGTTTCTAACAGTTATATTTGTATCTATATATATATAATATTTATAAAACAAGATAAAACAAGGTTATCACAGAATATTAACATCTTGCTAAAGCATAACAATGTTGCATGTGCTTATGCAATTCGACTGTGAAAGAGTTAATTTAAAGAATCTAAGTAAAGTGAATTACATTCCGTGAATCTTTATTCATTATACTAAAATATTTTTTAACATGTAGCCATGAAGTGTCGAATATTCACAAATTAAAAATACGTCTCGATGTATAAGTTAGAATGTTACGCATCTTATCTTTGAAAAAGATTCATTCACATCACTTTTCCACTGAATCTTTCATTAACCGCGATTCATTATATTTATACCAAAAGTTTTAAAATCCTTTCTTTTTACGTAACTTTACCATAATAGAATTAGTATTTTTAAAAAAGAAACCTTCCTATAAGCAAATTACAGACTGAATTGTTAATTAAGTAGAAACCTAATCTCGACTGATTCCCATTGAATAATCAATCAACATCAATCGAACACAAATTTTTGGTGACTTTGTTCAATCGCAGAATACCATTTACTAATTAATTTGATTACATATCAAGAAAGAAATCAAAACTGCAACTTTCCATTTTAATATAATATTTTCGAGATTCCAATTCGACTGAAATCTACAAAAGAAATCATTTTATTTTCTACATGTCAAAATAAAAGCAGAAAAAAAAATAAAATAAAACATTGATATCATAGAAAATAAAATACTTTCGATTTTTTTAGAAAACGTTTTTTGAAAATAGATTCTCGAACAGAATTTTGTTATCAACGTTTTTTGATACAGACACTGCCGTTTAGAAGCGTTAGAACATTAATTTTGTTTTTAATATTCATAGTATTATTTATTAGAGACAATAAAATTTTCAGGTTGCACGTATATTTTACGAGACAATTATTAATACAGCGTGAATCGTAGCAGTGATGATGGCAAAAATATATCAGACTGAGTCGCTTGGTTAACTTCATTTCTTTAAATGGAATATAATATCACTTTTATCTGTACATTTCTTGTGAAAGAAAAATCATTAACCTACTTGTCATATTTCTTTTAATAGGATAAACGATTTTTTATGAAACGGCCATAGTGATTGACCTCATTTTTGGAATTTTTCAATATATCTGTTCGCTGCTGAAATTCTCCAATAATGATGACAAAATTTTCCTAACCTTAAAAGGAATAATAAATAATTCATTTCGTTTCATGCATTTTGCATGTCATTAAATCTACAACAGTTACATTATACTTAAGCCTTAAAGATTTCAAAACGCAACGTGCACGCTGTTTTATCAATTTCTCTACCTTTTATCTCGTTTTATCGAAGTTGATCGATTCAGTGAATGAGCAACGATTCAAAAACTTCTTCCAAGCGACAGTGTATCTCATTTCGACTCGCGGAAGGACCATTCCCGACCGAACCCGAAATTCATCGTCGTTTAACTCCACACACACATATGTGCACGTATACGCGCGCACCGCCGAGACGACACGTAAATATATATATATATATATATATATGTGTACACGCATTAAGATTGTTTTCCACGAGTTTCAGCAATTTCTGGCCAGCCGCGTCCTCGCGAGGCTCTCGGAAGTTCGAACGGGAACGGAAGTTGTCCGAGGCTTAGTCAATTCCCCGTGCAATCGCTCCGGTATTATCGTCGTGGATCAGTCTCTTTTCTCTCTTTCTCTCTTTCTCTCTTTCTGTCGCTATCTCCTTCCACACTTGCCTATCCATCTCGTACGTCGTTCTTTTTCTCTCTGGGAACGCACAGCGAGCCGACGGAAAGGAAAAATGGTTGGAACCATTTCGATATGTACAAACGACGCGTCGAATACCCTTGACGTCCCTCTGGATTGGTTTAGAGATAGTTCGATATTTTAGAGACACCAACGACGATGGCCAAGATAGGGCATCGGGCCTTTGATCGCAGGCGAGATCGCGGCGATTTTGTCTGGTGGGGAAATAGAAGAATCGAAGGGACGGGGAATGTCGTGAAATAGCTTCTCGATTGAAGTTAGGAAATTAACTTTCAATATTATTCCCGTCCGCGATGGCGTTTAATTAGTTTAATTTATTATGAAACGAGGTTTATACCTCGATTAAGTAGTGTAATAATAGTCAGTTAGGTTTGTAACGTTATGGCAGTCTACAAGGGACGATGATACTTGTCGAAGTGTAAAAAAGAATGAAAACAGAATGGACAATTGTCCTTGACATTTGTAAATTTTTAACGTTTTATTTTCATTTTAAAGATTCATTCGTGAACGAATTTGTATTGTGCATTTTTATAATCGTGTTTATAGCACGAAATTGAATGAAAAATCATGGAAACGTGGATAACTGGTTTATTTTTTTGCAAACCGTGGAACTTTTTCTGAAATTTTCCACAAAGTTTTCAGATGGGACGGGAAAGATATTTGTTTCAAATTTTGATCTGTGGAGAGACGCTGATACTAATCAAAATGTGCGGGATTGGTTGTAATATCGAGTTGCAGGCTGCAGGAGGAATGGTTGGAATTCGATCGTGATTGAAAATTGATTTATTTGTTGAAATATGTGGAATTGCTTTTTGGAAGTGGTGAAATGGGTTTTAAGAAGAATATTATTTAAATCTATGGAAATGTCAATCGAAATAAAAGATAGAATTTGGTTGATTTGATGTCAAAAGAATCGATCATGATCTATTCGCAAATTTATCTATTCACGATTAAAAATGATTGATTTCTGAAAAAAACGAAAGAATATTGAAGCAATAAAATGGCGATTGAGTAATTAAATACGTGAAAATTAATTGTTTGAAATTAATCTTAATTCAAATCTACAGGAAACGTAAAATATTTTGTTTCTCCTCGTAATTAATTTGAGAGTAAGACTGCTGAAATTGGTTTTAAATAAATCGACAAAGTATAAAAACGGAATGCAATAAATTCTTGTTGTGGGCGGTGAACAATAAAAAATATCATCTTGAAAAATATCATTTTCATTAAATTTTGTATAATTAAGAAAAAAAAAGAAAAATATTAATTTCTTTTTGCAATCAATCGAAAGATTTATACGGTTAGATGAACAATGCTTGGAATTAATGCGCGTTTATCAATTTAATGTATTATTCAAGTGTTAATGGAATTATGAATAGTTATGGAGATTTCAGTTGACCACCTGTTTCGGATTAACCAAAGCTGACCCGCGAAAATGAGATTTTGATATCGATTTATCACTTCCGCTTGAAACTAAACCTAACACAGACCCAACTTACACCAAGTTCGTTAACCTACGTTAGATCAAAATGAAACACGAATGAATGGTAAGTTTTGATTACTCTGAAATCGTTTTTTTTTTTCTTTCTTTTTGGAAATTAAAGCATATAAATTCGTTGTCGACGAAAATTAATTGAGCAAAATTAATGCGAGCAAATGAGGGACGTTTAATTGCTGTTTGCCTTGCTCATCGAAGAATAAACTTTCGC